GAAAGAAATCGTCCACCGAAAGGTCCCTCCCTTCCCAACACCAGGACGAGGATGGGGTTAGAGAAGACGCAAAGAGCCGACCAAGACGAGACTCGCTGTCGAGTCAGATTCCTCTAAGCACAACCATGGCCAACCGATGAAGGCGAGGTGCCACGTCGGAGAAGGAAGGATGACCCAACGGAAGCTCATCTTTGGTACAAATGTCAGGCTGAGTCGTGGGGTGCAGAGCACCCACCGACAGAGAGGCAAAAGCAGCTTAAGAGATCCTCTTGCGCCCGGCTCGAACCCACCTCAGCTATGGGAACCACCGAACGCAAAGCCTTGAGGAGGAGGCATCGGGGTCATCGGAGTTGTGGAAGGTCCAGAGAAGCCCAAAGGAAGACCAACTTCGAATGGACGCGTGGTCGTCCACACATCATCAAACGTAGTCTCCAAATTTATGCTCAGGATTTTGTCCGCCATGGTTATGATGAACACAAGATTTTAACGGTCCCACAAACGGCGTCAAAATGGTATCATAAAGACCTTCGACCGACTAGAACAAGCTAGAAATGCCTGGATCTCGAGCTTGTCATCGGTTGAACGTCCCCTAACCTACAGAACTCTCACACTGGAGGGGATCTCACATGAAGAGCCTCTAATGCTTAAATGAGAAAGTGTAAAAGTTGAAGTGCATAGAGAAAAAGCTCTCTGTGATATGATGTGTATATTAGAGAATGTAATGTATTTCAAGGCATACCTCATTATAAAGAAAATATCATTTTTAACTTGTTTTCTTTTTCTAGTATGCTTTTGTTACATTCATTTGCTTAGGACAGTATTTAGGTTTTCCTAAGTATTTTCTTTGTTTTCTAAATTTTCATCTATATTTTGGTTTTCATGGTTTTCTAAATGTCTTATATATTTTTGGTCTATATCGTCTTCTAAACATATTGTATTTATGATATCTTTTTTATTATATAGTTCATAATAACCAAATTCTTGTGGTATACTTTATAATTGTTTACAACATCTTGAATCGACTTTAGTCATTTCATTGTGTTTTAATTTTCTTATACAGAGCTCATCTCCATATTCTTTCGCATATTTTTCTATAACTCCTAGAGTTTTATATTCTCTTGTTTCACTAATTTTCTTATGAATATATTATTCCATTAGATAGATTTCTTTCTTTTTCTATATATGATACTGGCATATTTTTCTTAATTTTTTCTTAATGATAGTTGTAATCATATATATATATATAATCTCTAAAACTTCTTTAGGCATAGTTATTATGTGAACTAGATGCTTAATTGTTATTTGTTCTAGGTCATTTTGGTATAATTGTGGTGTTATATGAGGTTTTTTTTATCAGTCATATTAAATGTGGGTTCATCTTCATATACCTTATCTATTTCATAGATTATTCCTTGTTTATGCTCATCATCTATTTTTGTTCATTCTAGTTTCTTCAATATTACATTTTTCTAATAACTTTATTAATCTATCTATATCATCTATTAGAATTTGTTGGCAGTTCTATTTGAACTGTTCTAAATAATTTATTCTGTGTTTTTTCGTTTTGTATTAAATCTTGTAATTCTTTTATTGATTCTTTTATTTCTTCAATTTTTCTAATGTTTCTAATTGAGTTTTGTTTATTAATTTTATAAGCATTCCAATATGTTCTTAGACTCTTGGTGGATCACTCATAATATTTTATGTTTTAAAAAATCCCGATAAAATAATTCCGTAACGGGAATGTATCATTTCCTTTTATTCTGATTTTGCCCTATAGCAAAAAATAAAGTGTGGAGATAGCACATAAAGTGACACATGTCACTCATTTAGATATGAAGGGTTGTGCCCATACGGCCTCGTCGACTTTTCCATTGAAGAGTGAAGACACAATGCTCAATGTTACAACTTACAACCAACCCAAATGCTTTTTATGATCTCGAGTTGGTTGGACTTGGACTTAAAACTTTTTTTTTTTCTTTTAAACGTCAATTGAGCATATTTTTTTATTTTTTTAAAACGTAGAACTTATTTGGTTCATAAATGACTAGTATTTCGTGCAAGCATAACCTAATCAACCACTTGTAAATATCACATTTCAATAGAAATAAAATCAGAATGATTTCTAAGAGCATCTCCAACGTGTTCTTTGACATTATAAAAAATCATGTATATCATCAACTTTTGAAAATGTGTTATTAATTTATTCTCCAACGCATCTTGTAATAAGTTCTTTCATGATGATGTGAAGGAAATTTAACGTTGACAATATTGAGTTCACTTTGTAATATCTAACACCATGTTAAACATAATGACCCATCAATTCACTTTATAATTGGTTTCATTTTTTATTGTTCTTGTAATTAATAAATTATTCTAATTGGTTCACCTACACAAATAACTTCTTACCAAATTGAAGCATTGAAGATATTAGTTTGATTCAAATTTTTAGTCTTTTTAACATTATTCTTACGTGGATTAACATTACACTCGCCAACTCACATGTGTTAAAAATGGCAGGCTACTCAAATGAAGTTCAGAGAAACTAAACACAGCAGTCGCAGGTCGCAACAAGAAGCCATTAGTCCTTCATCAATCAAAACCAAAAACAAATTACCCAACAAAACAAGCAACATAAGCAATTTGTATGATCCATAATGAGAAAAATCCCAGCATCCTGCACCATATACGAACCCAATTAAAATTTCTTACACATTTAGCTGATTTTCAATTCCCCCGAGCAGGTGGGGCATTTCCAAACTTCAATATATAGGCGGTTTCGTAAGCAGGCCGTAACGGGAGCATGACTTGGGCATCAAGGTAAGCATCACACGAGAAGCACCACACGGAGAGATCACTGTTTCGAGCAAAACACGACAAGCAAACCAAAACAAAAGTAAAGAAACCATAACAAAAATGTAATAACCAAAACAAAGGAATTAAAAAGCAGTCGACATCTAAAGAGGAAAACCGATGGGAAAAGCCACCTGAAGCTCAAGGCCAAGTTGTGTTGTTTCTGTTGATAATGCTCTAACATGTGCTTGTTCACAAACCGGCTGCACAAAACGTCTTTGCAGCACAGGCACAGCCAGTTCTCGTCCGGATGCTGACAACTTCACATGAAGTTTTCGTTACGGTTAGCCCGATCGATTTACTTGCCAATGTATGCATAAAAACGGTGAAGTAACTTGAACAAATTGATGCATTTTGCTTTCAAATCAAAAGAGATTACAATTTTCTGGAGATTCAACCATTTTATCTAGTTTTCTTTCATTAACACAAGATCCACTGAGCTCTGGGCTCCAGCAGGCTATTTCCTATGAAATACAATAAAACGCTATGCAGAACATAAAGAAAAACACAGAAACAGAAAACATGTAAGACGACTAACAATTGATTGAAAAAAAAAAAACAAAACAAAAAAAACTAGAAATTGTTTTGGATTTAGGGATTTTAAATCCATTGAACAACACGATTGATTATTCAATAATCGCAAATTATGCTAAGAAAGTGCGCGTTTCGAATGAGGAATTAAAAGGGAGATGGGTTTAGGGTTTAAGACGGAGGACCTGTTGCAAGGGGTGTCGGGGGTTGGGATGTGAATCAGATCGGACGATAACGAACCGAGATGATCGCAGTGTGTTCGGGCCTCGACCCAGCCCGATTCCGACCCGTCGAGGACTAGTTCATCGTCCTCTCCGATTATTTGGAGGGTCGAGGAAGAAGAAGCGTGTCCCGCCATTGATGACCTCTCAAACTCTTGAAATGCCGAGGTAATTGCTGCGACCACTATTAAGTATTAACACACTTTTCAGGGGAAGAGAGTCGGACCGTTCGATCGTGGGCTTTCTCACGACTCTTGAATTGCCAAGATAATTGCTGCATTAACAAATTTTTACGGGGAAGAGGGACCGTTCGTGGGCTTTCACGACTCTTGAATTGTAGAGATAATTGCTCCATAGTGATGCTCATGGCTTGCATACATTGGTATGTTCAAGAAAATACATCACTAATGTGTGCATGTCACATAAACGGTGACATATTAACATGTGTCCACCGTGGGTAAGAGAGCATTGTTGTCTTTAAATAATAGCAATATAACATTATATTATCACATTATGTACATGTAACATTTTCCATTATGTTTTATTTGCAGATATACCACATAACTTATCCATGGGTAAGGAATATTTTATTTCTTAATGGGTAAAAAAAAATTTTCCATCTGAACTATCACGGTTTTGGCGCATCACCATATAAACTACTTTTTTTTACAAACCACCATACAAACTATATGGGTTTGTCAAAGTGCCTTCTAAACCGAGTATAAAAGTGGTTTTAATTGAAAAAAGCTGATTTTTAAGGGCATTTCAGTAATTTCGCATATTTTTCAAAAAAAAAAAATGAAAAATGAATGAAAGAATGAAAAATAGCAAGGTTAAATTGCGACTACAAAATCGGAATTCAATCAATCGACCCGTCAATCGGCTTCGAGAAACTACGATGATGGAGTTGTGAGGCGCCGCGTCTCGGAGAATCGCGTCTGCCGCGGAGCGAAGGGTGGCTTTATCATCTCGTCGTCGATGATAATTGTGCAGGCCCTCTCACTGCCCAAGCATTGCTTTAAAGGGTTGTGAACTGAGGAAGAGTGATGGGCCCGATCTCGACTCGGTGATCCTAACGGAGCTCGAGAGGTTGAGGGACTTGGGATTGGTAGTGTCGCGTGGGGTGAGCTTTTTCTATGCACCCTCACAGGGTGATGGAAGTCTCACATACGAGGTCGAGGTCAAACGGGTCGAGCGGCCCCTCCCCGACGAGGCCTTCCACGGACCCACAACGAGCTCGACATGAAGAATGAAGCAAGCCTTCATGTTCGTGTAGCTCTCGTTGCATGAATCAGTTTCCGCCGCGTAGGGAGGCGGTTGTGGAGGCCGGCTACGGGCCGTTGGCAGACATGGCTATTTAGGGTCCAAGGTTACTGCATGCATTCCTGGGCGCTCACGGATTGGAACCAGCTTCATTTTTTATTTTTTAGTTTTTTTTTTAAAAAAAAAAATTAAACAGTTTCTTCATTTTTATTATTTTTTTTTTTTTGAAAATTTTATGAAATTACTTAAATGCCCTAAAAATCAGCCTTTTTTTGCCGAAACGATAGAGGAACTATTATAAACCAAAAGCACAAATGTGCGAATAAGAAATACAACGCTCCCAGCGGGAGAATAAAATGGGAGGACAGGTCTGAAGCCCGCCTAGAATCCCGAAGCTAGCAACTCTAGAAACTAAAACAAGACTCACTAGACAACTAACCCAACAAACAACTAGCACAACAAAACACGAAGAAAAACTACCACGCTCCCAACAGGAGAATAGAGACAGAAGCTGCTCCCAACAGGAGAATAGAGGTGCTCCCGCTCAGGATTACACGGGCCAACGACCCAAACCAAAACACAAATCCTAAACAACAAAGACACAATCACATTAAAAATCAGCTTTTTTTAGTCAAAATCATTTTTTTCCGGTTTAGGGGGCACTTTGACAAACCCGTATAGTTAATACGGTAGTTTTTAGAAAAAAAAATAGTTTATATGGTGATGCGCCAAAACCGTGATAGTTCATATGGAAAAAAGTTTTTTTTACCCTTTATTAATTAAAAAAATGTATTAGTTCCAAAAAACCATCTTCGATGAATATGATAAGAGATTTATCTCTCACTCTCTCACTGCATCTCTTTTCGTTTTCGTTATTGCAAGAAACTGGAGGAAAACAGGTGCGGACCCACTAATATGAAGCGCACAATGAGAGGGAAAAGCCCATATGAAGCCCAAGTGGAGTTC